TATAATCTTGTTCATTTAGACATAATTATATGCAATTAAGGCCTAATAAGATACAACAAATCTCTGAAAAATGTGCCTCCTTTCCTCCATCAGAATGAAAGATAGAAAAAAAATATGAGGAAAAACAAAAAAGAAAGAATCCAATTAGTTTCAATGTCTGTATTCCATAAATCCCACTGGAAAAAATATGTATATGTTGTCAATGTATCTACTGTTGTCTGTACTAAGTGTCAGTGATTTTGAGCAGTATTTCACTGTAAACTTATCACTGATGTTGTTCCTAAGAAGAGCTGAGATGGTAACTAGTGCTCTCTAAAGATCATAAAGAACAAAAAGCTATTTATCTTGTTTATGAATTATATGTAGTACTTTTCTACTTGAATCATAAATATCTTCAATGTTTTCTGCTATATTGACCAGCTTCTGAATTATCTATCCTTTTTCAAAATAGAAAAGGCAAGTACCCTTTGACTTTAATACTATCGCTAATTCTCTCAGTTAACATGTTTTTCAATACTATGTAAAATTGTGATTTAAAAAGGCTACTTTTAAAAAGAAAAAGGAACAAACCTCCATACTGTGAAAACGCAGATATAACAGAAAGCAGGGACTTGAACAGACAGTTGTACACCAATGTTTACAGCAGCATTATTCGCAATAGCCAAAAGGTAGAAACAACCCAAATGTGTATTGACAGATGACTAGATGAACAGAATGACATATATACGCACAATGAAATATTAACTTGAAACTAACACAGTATTGTAAATCAACTACACTTCAGAAAAACAGAAAAAAAACCCAACAACAAAAAAAGTGTTAGATTCCAGAGAAGGGGGATGGAGTAGAAGGAATGAGCCCAGGGACAGCTGATTTTCATCATAAGCCTCTCTGTATTATTTGACTTTCTTTAACTATGTACACTTTGATGCACATTTTTAAATATCGAATTTTAAAACTCCATGATTTAATTTACATATGTAGAGGATTTTCAGACAGTGATTCCCTGACATGATTTTAAGTGTTTTTAACTGTCATTATCTAAAATTATTTTAAAATAACAACATATTACCACATACTGGGTGGCTTAAAATAACAGAAGTTTATTGTCTCACATTCTGGAGGATAGAAATATGAAGTCAAGCCAGCATGCCTATGCACCCTTCAAGAAGCTCTAAGAAAGAATCAATCCTTCCCTGCCTCTTCTAGCTTCTGGTGGTTGCCAGCAATCTTTGGCATTCCTTGGCCTGTGTCAACATAACTCTACTCTCTGCCTCCATCTTCACATGGCTGTCTTCCCTTTGTATGTCTCTGTGTCCAAATTTCTCTCTTAATACAAGGACCCCAGTCATTGGATTAAGGTTCCAATATGACCTATTGTAATTTGATTACATCTCCAAAGACCCTATTTCCAAATAAGGTTACACTCACAAGTAACGGGATTTAGAATTGAACATATCACTTTAGAAGACACAATTTAACCCAGTACAGGTACCCAACAAAATATTTGTTGAATGGATGAGAAGAAAAATTGTGAACCTAAGTTACAATTTTAGAACTTCCCAGTATCTGTTATTGCAATTTTATAGTTGTTTACTAGAGACCGAATTCAGTTGGTCTGCTGAATTTATTAGATGTCCCTGTCAGATTCCCTCCATCATCTCCCCACTCCCAGTAACAACTAGAAACACTTAACAAACTATGCCTTTCATAAGGTTTTTATTGATTTGCAAATATGATATTGCAGTGTGTGATAGCTTAAAAAGAATTACTTTTAAAAGAGATATTTGGATTTATAAAATCCCCAAAGGAAAAAAAAATAACTGAAAACTTAATACCTAAAATATTTAAAATTTGGCTCTTAATGGGCTAAAGCCATTATCATAGCTATCTCATAATAAATTATTAGTTTGACTCATTTTTCAGTTGGTAATAAATATATTTCTTGAGCAAAATTACAACAGGTATGCTCCTATTTAAAAGAAAATCTCATTTGTATCCTTAAGGTCATTTATTATTTAATTTTAAAATTTACCATGAAGCTCAAGTAGCAAAAAGTAAAACAAAACAAAACAAAAAAACTCTCCACATAACGGAGGTTTCTTAACATGTAATCAACTACACAGTCATAAACATATAAAGTTTTTTAATGATACAGAAAATAAGAAGCAAGATAATTGTTTTATTATAAGCAAGCAAAAGAAAATAAAGACAGAAAATAGTTGTTTTTTTTAAACACATAAAAGAGATTTTTGAAGTAGAAAGCATTATCCCATGAGGTTAGAACACACAATCAAAATATAATTAAAGGAAGTGAGATCATCCAGTTGAACACTGCCAACATCTGAGGAAGCAAGGCTCAGAGAGGGCATATCATCTGCCTAAAGAAATAAAATAGACCCTCCTAGAGTAATGAAAATAAAAACAAAATTAAACAAATGGGACCTAATTAAACATAAAAGCTTTTGCTTTTAAGCAAAGGAAACCATAAACAAGACGAAAAGACAACCCTCAGAATGGGAGAAAATATTTACAAATGAAGCAACTGACACTTATTTGTGGAATTTAAGAAAAATGATAAAATGAACTTATTTACAAAACAGAAACAGACCCACAGACATAGAAAACAAACTTATGGTTACCAAAGGGGAGAGGGGTGGGGACAAATTAGGAGCTTGGGATTAACATATACACACTATTATATATAAAATAGATAAACAAAAAGGACCTACTGTATAGGTAGGTCCTTGTTTTATATATATCTATATATATAACTGAATCACTTTGCTATACACTTGCAACTAACACAACATTGCAAATTATACTTCAATAAAAAATTATGTTCTTATATCTATATCTGAATCTGGCTCTTGCATAAGTGAAAGTGTGTGTTAAAAGTGCTCTGGGAGGGCTTCCCTGGTGGAGCAGTGGTTAAGAATCTGCCTGCCAATGTAGGGGACACGGGTTCGAGCACTGGTCTGGGAAGATCCCACATGCCATGGAGCAACAAAGCCCATGTGCCACAACTATTGAGCCTGTGATCTAGAGACCGCGAGCCACAACTACTGAGCCCACCTGCCACAACTACTGAAGCCCGCGTGCCTAGAGCCCGTGCTCTGCAACAAGAGAAGCCACCGCAATGAGAAGTCCGTGCACCACAATGAAGAGTAGCCCCTGCTCCCCGCAACTAGAGAAAGCCCGCGCAGCAATGAAGACCCAACGCAGCCAAAAAAACAAAAACAAAAAAAGTGCTCTGGGAGATGCTGGGAAATTATATACAGATTGTAATGCATTATATTTGGTAGAAAATAAAGGGGCAGGAACTTCCCTGGTGGTGCAATGGTTAAGAATCTGCCTGCCAATGCAGCAGACACGGGTTCGAGCCCCGGTCCTGGAAGATCCCACATGCCGCGGAGCAACTAAGCCCGCATGCCACAACTACTGAGCCCGCATGCCACAACTACTGAAGGCCGTGTGCCTACAGCCCATGCTCTGCAATGAGAGAAGCCACCGCAATGAGAAGCCTGTACACCACAACGAAGAAGAGCCCCCATTCACCACAACTAGAGAAAAGCCCGCGTGCAGCAACGAAGATCCAACGCAGCCAAAAATAAATAAATAAATATATTTTTTAAAAAAAGAAAGAAAATAAAGGGGCAGTGAAAAAGCTTTGGCAGGTTTCTGTTGCCATTGAATTCCCAATTCATTGCCATTAAAATAATCAAATCTGATCTTTCCCAGAGAAAGGAGGCAGCCCCTAGTCTGGCAGATCCTTAAACAATAAGGCATTTCAAAATGTTATTATATATATTTAAAAGTCATTATATTAACTCGATCATCTTTAAAATAATTCCTGAGAATATCTTAAGTCTTTTAAAATTCCCCAGTGCCTCCATTAGTAATTCCAGCCATCTTCTATAATATTGAAGAAATGTTTAGGTATAAGAAACTTGCTTTGAAATTCTGATCTCCATCATTCATCACAGTAAACCATCATTAGACTGCAAACCTGGATTGTGGTGAAGTTATATCAGATTACTTCGCTCCTCACTATACAACTAGTTGTATTTATTTTACAATGTTTTTGCTTTGGTCTATCTCAAAATTTTAATTATTATAAAATTAAAACAGTTTTCAAATGGCTATTCTTTGATGTACTGTATCATTTGATATAAATTGTTCTAAGTGTAAGTCCATTTTTTTCCCAATAAAATCTTTGAGTTTTAATTGATTATAGTAAATTAAATTTAAACACAAAAATTTTAAGTTTGGGACTAACATGTTCTACAGCTGACATGTTAACTTTTAAAAACACAATTACCAAACACAAGTTCATTACTAGCATGTAATGGTAATTCAAAAATGGTTGTTTTAAGTGAGCTATTATGAAAGGATACAGATAAAAGAAATTAAAAAGAAGAAGAAGTTACTGAAGGAAGCATATTTAATAAGTTAGCATTCACAAATGGTAATGTGTAAGACATATTAATGTGTCTCATATTAATGGAAGACAGTTAAAATTACCCATAAACAGACTTAGAGACTCCTTTTGGGTTATTTTCTTCTAATTTTTTCCCTTTTTCTGGTATTGGAATATAACAGTATCTTTGTTACTTATCTCAAGAATTTATACTCAATGAAAGCTTTAAAAAGCCAAATAAGTTTGATTCCCAAAAGAAAGAAATAAAGAACATTTCTGAAGTTTTTACTTCTGAAGAGGAAATTATAACATCAGCCATTTTATTTTCCATTTTGTATATTAAAACTGCAAATCTTTTTATTTACATCAAATTCTCATCCAATTCATTCAAAATGTACCAGGAATGGAAAGGAGATGTAATTCTACATCTCTTTTCCAAGTGGCAGAAGCAGCCGTCTCTCTAATCAACCTGACCTTTCTCAAGGGCCAACAGTTGTTTCTTGAGTTATGCTTAATATCATACCTAGGAAATCAACTAGCATTACTACAATTATGTCAATTGTGCAGAGAGGTTAAATACCTTGCCTGAAGTCACAAATGAGTCAGAGACACGGCTTAGGCGAGGTCCAGCCACTCTGTTTCCCAGGCTCCTCCAACTGCATTCAGACTTTATAATTGCTTCTCTGTTATTTGATTAGAAATAGGGACAGTGTTGATTCTGGCTTTAGTCCAGAAACAAATAGATGAGGAAATCAGTTTAACTGGAAGGAAAACTACAAGAGGGAATTCAAGGACAAATCCCAGTACTCTGATATTTTTCTTTTTTTTCTCCTATTTGCATGAATTTTTACTAAAAATCCAATAATATATCTTTATAAAAACATATCTCTGATTTTTTAACCACTTACTATTGTGCTCATCCACAGAATTTTTGAATTTTGACTAACTTCAATAATGTTCACTTGAAGATTAAGTAAAACCAAAGTTTGGTTGAAGCTTTGTTTTCTGGTACTAATGATAATAAAATTTTACCTATAAAGATACGGATTAGGGCTTCCCTGGTGGTGCAGTGGTTGAGAGTCCGCGTGCCAATGCAGGGGACACGGGTTCGTGCCCCGGTCCGAGAAGATCCCACATGACGCGGAGCGGCTGGGCCCGTGAGCCATGGCCGCTCAGCCTGCGCATCCGGAGCCCGTGCTCCGCAACGGGAGAGGCCACAACAGTGAGAGGCCCACGTGCCGCAAAAAAAAAAAAAAAGATACGGATTAAAATTTCATTTCAACTACAATATGGAGAGAAGCCAAATTTTTCTTAGTTCTAAAAATGTGGTAAGTTAATAATTGTCAAGATGAAACAGTCAATTTCTTTGATCTTTAAGAAAAGCAAAAATATTCCCTGAGGTGCAAAATTGTGAAATTTATCTGTAAGCATCAATTATCCTCTGATCGAGCTGTTCCTTTTGTTTTAAACTGTAGAGGATTTTCTAATGTGTAAGATGTTAGCGCCATTAATCATATTGCACAATAGTTTCAGACTGGAAACCCAGGTTCATCATTTCTTTTTCCATTCTGATGTAACTCACGCTGTTGTTTGCTGTTTGTTCTGTGATCCCTATTTATTAACTCAGATTCCAGTAAAAAGTTGTTTTTCTCTCTGTTCTTTGTTGTTTTCTGGACTAAAGTATTGCTGGTGTTTGGCCTTCCCATTAAGCATTTTCTCATCATTCACTCAGAAATTTTCAAGTTTATTAAGGAAAAGGTAATCCTGATGATTTACTGGAAAGAAAAAGTCAACTAGGTTGAAGTGGTTTACACACATGGGATAAGTGGAAATTACACATTCACAATAATGAATTCAAGCTGCTGCTGTTAAACTTCAAAAGAAAAGGTATGGGATTATTTGGCTGATTTGATAATTGCCTCTGGTAAAATGCAGTATTTTGAAATACAGACCTATTTTTTTGCTCCTTGTATCCTTTTTGCCTCCTTCCCATTCAAGCATTTAGTAAACCCTAAGCTCACTTCCTCAGAGGAGGGACCTATAACTATATGTCCCAGTAACAGCAGCTATCACACGTGGCACCCTTATGTACCAGACGTGGTAAATATACTAATTCATTCAGCGCCAACAGCCCCATCAGTGGGTACTGTTACTATCCCCATTTCACAAATGAGGAAACCAAGGCACAGAGGTTTAAGTAACTTGCCTAAGGTCAAGTTACAATGAGCAAGAGGTAGAGCTAGGATTCAAAGGCAGACTGGCTCAGAATCTGTGCTCTTTACCGTTAAAGATGATCAATGCTATCTGTCAAGGATGCGAGCAGCACCATGGCCTCAGGAGAAACCTGGGAAAAGCTAATCAGACGATAAGGACAGAATCTAGGGTCAATGTTCTGTGAAGGCGTGTCAGAACCTGAACTTTTTGGGAGGAATGTTAGTACTGTAGACCATGGATGCATTGTCAGAGCATCAGGAAATGTCAGATTTGTGACCTTGCACAATTGTACCAAAGCTATGAAATGAGAATGAGACCTCAGCTCAGTGGCTGACAGAAGTATGAGAAAACAACGAGACAAGAAGGGCAGGTGAGATCCAGTGTTTGAGGAGATGGACCAGAAACAGAACGGTTGGGATGCATACTGTAAGGCAGGGCTGCTTTTTTTTTCTTTCTTTCTTTCTTTTTAAAAAATTGAAGTATAGTTGCTGTACAATATTATATGTTATAGGTGTACAATATAGTGATTCACAATTTTTAAAGGTTATACACCAGTTACAATTATAAAATATGTGCCATAGTCCCCATGTTGTACAGTATATCCTTATAGCTTATTTAATACCTAATAGTTTGTACCTCTTAACCCCCTACCCAGTATTGCCCCACCCTCTTCCCTCTCCCCACTGGTAACCACTAGTTTGTTCTCTACATCTGTGAGTCTGCTTCTTTTTTGTTATATCACTAGTTTGTTGTATTTTTTAGATTCTATGTATAAGTGATACCATACAGTATATGTCTTTCTCAGTCTGATTTATTACACTTAGCATACAGGGCTCAGCTTCTCAAAGGGGCTTCACTGAGCGGAACAGTGAGCTCATTAGGCTTACATCTTAAATTAGCTTGTCTAGAAGTTGGATTTTACACATTTACCCTAAGTGATTATTTTCTGGAGAACGGACTCATACTTAACAGTTTCTCAAGGGATATATAAAACAGAAAAGTTAACTTATTAATTTAGGAAAATAGAATTGCTTGGTAAGATAACCTGTTTAGGAATTTGCATAGAGGACTTCCTCATGGTGGACAAAATTGCCCCAGAGCAAATCAAGCAAAAGGAATTTTGATGAACAAAGAACATGAATAAAGAGCATTGGACTTAGAGGCTTTTTTTTTTTTTTCAAAGTAAAGTAATTAGATAAACTTTTCTTCTCTGACCCGAGAATGAGCACCGACAAATTTTTTCCTTCTCCTTTTGGAAGACCATATTCAGAGAAGCTTCTCAATTAATACATCAGTTGTAACACAGTTGTCATCCAAACCCTCTGGACTATATATTGTGTCTGCCCCTTACCTGATACCTGACCCAGTCCCAAGAGGAAGGTTGAATTCCAGATCTCCCCAACTCTAGTCCGCTCCTGCCTGCAGCAGTGAACATGTCTGTTCTCAGCCCCATCATGAACTAGACAACAAATCGTATATCCTTTAGTGTATTCTACCAGCAAATATTTCTGACAGTTATATTTTCCAACCTTGACTCCCAATGAAGGGGGAGACACCTTTTATGGGACTTATAAAATCCCGTGCTCTGAATACTGTGATCACATTTTAAACTTAAAAATGTGAATTTTATCAAAATATTTAGGATGGAACGTATTTTAAATATCAAGGAAAGAGGTTAACAAGACTAGTCTTCATTTCAGGCAACTAACAGAGCTTCCTCAGGTGGAGGTTATGAAACTCCTAAATATATAAACTTCCTATAATGTTGGTTTAGATATCATCTCATATGGAGTCCTGAAAGGATATAAAACATTCTCATGTAGCATAAGTCTGAGAAATTACTATGGAAAAGCATTTTAAAATTAGTGAGACTAAACCAATTTCACTAGTGAGTCACCCTACCTCTTCCTATTGTGTATGTAACTAGTAAAAGTTTAAATTAATAGATGCTCAATAAATGGGTCCTGAATTAATTACTCCACGTCATGTCAATATGCATAGTATGGTCAAGGGAATAAAAGCGTTTTACTGAAGACTGAGAGAAATGCATTAATTTCCAAGCTCTGTCATGGCTCATTATATGCTCCTGAGCAAGTCATTGCTCCTCTCTGAAGCTCAGTCTTCTCATCTGTGAAAAAAGCTATTGGATCTAATGGTCCCTACGATCCACTCCCACTTTTAAATTCTTCTTTTTTGATTATTTATTATTATCTACAAGAAACCTTCCTAGAACATATTATGAAAGAGGATTAAAGTTTTATATCAAAGTTAGGAAAGTTCATGGATAACTAGGCAACGCTGGTGAGTATGTGTAACGGATAAGTAAACTAGGTTGGAACTGAGACTTCGGTAGAGAGTCCTGTGGAATTAGGGATCCCTTTCATAGTTCCTCTGGGGCTCAAAACAGATAATCACAAAGCTGCTGTAATTATCCAGTTGGAAAAATCTATATTATTACCTAAAAAATCTAGTTGCTTTGCTCTGTTCCTGGCCAACTCCTATAGTTCTGGGATCATGGTGGTCTTGAAATGCTGCTGTTACTACCAGGCAGATTTCAAAATGTAAGTGGTAGTTGTAGGAAAAGGCCACTTTCTCCTTCCCTAACCTAATCTAGACTTGGATACAAGCCCCTTCCCTGAAACCCCAACAAAAGCATTTGATAGGCTGTGATGTTTGCAAAGCTTCTGAAACTTTGGGGATAATGGAAAGAAATTACAATGCAGAGAAGGAAAATGTAAACAGGAATTTTAGCTATGAGTATTCTCTTCTCCATAGAGGTCTCCCATGGGCCATCTCTCCCCTTATCAATGGACCCAAACTATTGACATGTTGAAGGAATTACATAACCCTCCATGTAGAGAATGTCCTTGGTCATATCCTACCCTTAATTCCTCTCTTGCTTTATAAGAAGGGAAAAAATTTCTACAACCCCAGCCAATAAAGTACTAACCACTACTGATTCTATACCTACAATTAAGACACAATTTATAGATTATGCAGAAAAATTTTGCTTTTTTTCCCACAAAGTTTCCATTTCAGAATATAATCTGTGCTATATTTTGCATAATAAAAGTGCATTAAAGTATCACTCACCAAGAAAAAGAAGTTTTCTCCAAAGACAAATAATGGCTCTGCTCCTAGCTAAACAAAAAAATTGTCACCAAAATCTTCTTGTTAAATATGGTGGATTGACCACACATTTTAAAATGTGCTTCCTCCTCAAATTCCTTTAAGATGACAGCAAAGAAATAGAAAGGCATAAACCTACAATGTCAAAGCAAACAGGAATGATATGTGAAGAGATAAGAGATTACAACAACTTATTGGAAGAGATTTTAGAGGAACCACAAAATTCAAGAGTGACTGTCAAGGCTGAAAATAAGGGGATTGGTAAAATAATATAAAAAGTGTAGTTGGACCCTATACCCTCCTCCCCAGTCCATGTAACTCCTACCCTCTTTATTCATATA